TGGAAATCAACCTTTTTTATTTTGGGGGGGAGGGAGGGTGGGAGAAGAGCTGAAAGTTCATACTGAAATGGATTTGTAGAATATTTGTAAATCTATTTTTAGTGGGGCTTTTTTTTGGTTTGTTTAACAGTTCATTCCTTCGTGTAGAGTCTCTCTGCCTGGGCAGGAGTGCATGGACGCTAAGGCGCTCTCTGCTCTCTGGCACACTTCCACCGTACTTGCTAAGTTTGTATTTAATGGTTGTTTTTGTTGTTTCGGTTTTTGGTTTTTGTTTCTCAAAAGTGAGAGAAGAGCCGGAGATATGATTTTTATTATTAATTTTTTTTTTTTTACTATTTATAGCTTCAGACAGGGCCTCGCTTTTCTCTTTTTCTTTAAATCCCCTCCCTATTTTATAAAATAGACTTTATAGTCCTCTGTCCATGACTTGGACCCTTTTGGAAGCTGCTTCCTCTAAGAAGTAGTTTTTGCTGAGACATAGTTTTCTAGCAAATCCCAAAATATAATGTACAGGATAGTGGGATATTTGTGTCTCTTTTCTTGTAATATATTGTTCTTCTTTGGTCCTAGAAAAATAGATAAATATATTTTTTCAGGAGATAGTGTGATAATTCCCATTTGAAGTTGGCTGGGTGGTTGAGTGAGTGAATTTGTATGTGGCTGAGGGGGGTTTTGCCTGTTTCTCTTGCCCCTTTCCTGGTGCCTTTTCACTGGGCTAGAGTAGTTGAGGGTAGATAGTTCTGCCTTCTTTCTAGCTTCTGCTTTGAACCCAGCTGGTGTTCCTTCATTTCTCCAAATTTAAGAGAAAACTGGAGAGCTGTGCTAGCCAATACAGTAACCACCAGCCACAGGTGCTGTTAAAGTCAATTAAAATTACATCAAGTTAAAAATCCATTCCTCAGTTACACTAACTGCATTTCAAGTGCTCAGTTGCCACATGTGGCTAGTGGCTACTGTAGTGAGCAGGCAGGTAAAGACCGTTTCTATCTATTGGAGATAGAAGCGCCCCAGGACGCTTGAAGGGGTCTCTGCTCCTAAACAAAACAGCTAGAGAACTAAGCTGGCTTAGCAAGTCACAGCCCCAGCTTTGCTGGGGTGACCTTTGTCTTCCGGGCAAAGGACGGGATTGGGGAGGGCTGATTAGGCCCTAGCTCGGGAGCCTGTTACCTGTGCCTTCCCTTCCAGGGAGGAGAGGCTTGGTGGCTTAGCCTGGGTAGGCTGCATCTTATGACCCCACTGGCTGGGGTGAGGGGACTCAGCCTCGCTTCCTGTACCCTTCACCCCCACAACCCAGGGTTCCCAGCTGGCTGGGTCCTCTTCTCCACGCCCCCCCCCCCATGTCCTTCCCTCTGGCTATGTTGGAAGTGAGCATCTCTTGTAGCCCCCTCACTGTTGTCTGTTACTGATTTTTTGATAAAAAGATAATAAAACCTGGTACTTTCTAGATCGCCTGCCTCTGTGATTTTTAAGTTTATAAGAAGTTCTTTCTGGGCTCTGTTTCCTTTGGCCTCAGTGGAGCCTGAGATGACTGCCCTGCCCAGATGCCCTTTCCAGAAGCCAGGAAGGGACCTGGGAGGAGGGAAGTAGTGAGAATGTGCACGCTGTGGCCTGTGGGCCATGCACTCTACCTCTGTTTTGTTTAGGCGGCACCGTGTTTGAAAAATAAACATATAAAAGTCCTTGGATTAGTTGCCAACCAGCAATTAGGCCATTTCCCATAAAAATCCAGATTCCTCACTTCTCTTGGGAAAAAAGATTTGACAACTCTCAGGCAGCATGGCCACAATTAGGAGCTGCTGGCAGGCAGGAGCCCGTCTAGATGTGGTTCTCTGTCTCACCACAGTCTGCACCGATTGCACTTAACGTCGCCTGCTTGGCCTCAGCAGGCAGGGTAATTGGCAGGCTCTAGACACTTCTTTTGATCCTCATAGCAATGCTGTGAGGTGAGTAAGATCCTTTTTACTGAGTGGGCCACCAGCAAATCCATTCTGTGTTTTACACCTGGACCCACTTAATCATCACAATTCCACAAAGTAGGATCTGTTAACACCTCCATTTTACAGATGAGGAAACTAGCTAAGAGGTTAAATAACTTGCCCAAATTGGCAAAGCACCAATGGCAGAGGTGGGATTTGAACCCAGGCAGACGGACTCTAGAGTGCTCATAATCACAGTATCTGAGGGTTTATGTCACTCAGGGCCCCTTCACGGGTTGCTCAGGCCCCACAAACCCCCTCTGAAGCAATGAGTCTGGTCTCAAATCCCTTCCCAGACCCCGCCACACTTGGTTTTCCTGAGCCCCAGGACACTTGAAGGGGTCTCTGCTTCTTATAACTGGGATCTTGCAAAAGCCCCCACATCTGTTCCATCTATGCTGTCCAAACTGGCTGCTAGTCACATGTGGCTACTTAAACAAACTGATTAAAATTTAAAAATTAAAATTCAGTTCCTCAGATGCACTAGCTATATTTCTAGGGCTCAGTAGCCACATGTGGCTGGCAGCTATTCTATTGGGCAGCACAGATACAAGACACTAATGTCCTAGGAGTTTCTGTTAGGGCTCTGTTGAGTAGTGTAAGACTTCTGGGTTTGGATTTCAGCTTTCACCAGCTGTTACCTTGTGCTCCAACAGCCCACGGGGAGGTAGGTCAGAGCCTGGTGTGCAATAAGTGCTTGAGAAATAGCACTTTATTACCATCATCAGCTCCATCAGGTAAGGTGTTAGCTCCACAAGGCCCTGTATTATCTATTGCTGTGTAGTTTACCCCTGAGTTTAGGGGTTTATGATGGCATAAATATCTCACATAGTTTCTGCGGGTCAGGAATTTAGGAGCAGCTCAGCTAGGTAGTTCCAGGGTCTCATGAGGTTGCACTTGAAATGTTGGTCAGGGCTGTGATCACCTAAAAGTTTGACTGGGATGGAGGAGCTACTTCCAAGATGGCTCACTGACGCGTCTGCCACGTTGGTGCTGGCTGTTGGCAAGAGGCCTCAGTTCCTCACCCTGTAGGCTCCGGAGGGCTGATCGAGTGTTCTCATGACATAAGGATGGCTTTTCCCATAGACTGATCCAAGAGAACCAGGTGGAAGCCATGATGCCTTTTATGGCCAAGCCTCAGCAGTCACATTCTGTCACTTCCACAATGTCCTATTGGTCACACAGGCCAGTAGTCTTCATTGCAAGAGGGGACTAAAGAAGTGGGGGTAAGACTCACTAAAAGCCATGTTAAAGGCTGGTGACTATAGCCCCACTGCTGGTCAACTCTGAACAGAGGTTAATTCATCTGGAGAGCTAACTCTGGAACTTAGTATAATATTTCTGAGAACTGGGCAAAGCTGGTTTTGGACAATATTGGGCCATTATTCCTCCTGCCAATCTTCTGAGAAGCTGAAGCACTGACTCCTGCACGGGCCAATTCCATCATAGGGCACTGGAGGGCCTACGGGCCAAAGAGATGTGCCTTTGCCAATAGTTTGGGGAGTGGGGTAAGCAGAATTCTCAGATGAGATGACCCACAAGATTTCTGCCCTCTGGTGTCTACAGCCTAGACATTTCCTCCCCTTGGGTGTGAGCAGGACCTATAAATATGATGGCTGTCACTCCCATGATTAGGCTCCTTTGGATGGCAAAGGCGAAAGGATTTTGCAGATGTAATGAAGGTCCCAAACTAGTTGATTTTTGAGATCCCGAAAAGGGGGATTATACCAGTTGGGCCAGACTTAATTAGTTGAAAGCCCTTTTAAAAGAGGGTCTGGAACCTTCCTGATAAGAGCAATGCTCTCCTGTTGACTTTTAAGAAGCAAGTTGCCTTGAGTTCTATAAATACAAGGAAAGAAATTTTGCCAACAGCCATGTGAGCTTGGAAGGGGACCCTGTACCTCAGAGACACTGCAGCCCTGACCACAGCCCTTAATTACAGCTTTGGGAGACCCTGAGCAGAAGGCCCAGCTAAGCTGTGCTGGGACTCCTGACCCATGGAAACTGTGGGACAATAAATGTGTGTTGCTTTAACCTGCTACATTTGTTGTAATCTGTTGTGCAACATAGAAAGCTAATACAGAAGGTCACTTAGCTCTTCTGGACCATCAGTTTCCACATCTGTTAAATGAAGAGAGTGCTATATTTGGACTATCTCTGAAAGTGTTCTGGGGTAACAATGACAGCAGCTAGCCCATATAAAGTGGTGCCTGTGGACCTGTTGAAAGTGCTTTACATATATTAATTATTTTCTTTCTGATATCTTATGAAACAAATACTATTACCCCCATTGACAGAAGAGCAAACTGAAGCAGAGAGAGGTTAAGTGACTTGAACTTGTTAAGCTTACCCAGCTAGTACATACTGCTTTGACTCCGAGATAGCTGTTGTCTGAAAAGTCACTAAATCTGTATTCCTTCATTTTAAAGTGACCCCTCTGAAAATATACATGAGTAATTAGTGTGAGAAGTGCATGTATGTACCAGGACAAACCCTGCCAAACCCAGGATACCCCGCCCCAGGGTAAGGTGCTAATGATGCACTTTCAGACCCCAGCCAGGGTTGGGGAGGGGTTTTGAATGAGTAAGGGCTTGGGGATGAGCTTGGTAGAGTGGTTCCCACTTCAGCACTTTATAACAAAGTGAGTCCATAGAGCTTGGTCACAAGGTCACGCCTTTCCCCAGGACTTTGCCTGCTCCTCCCATCCCCCACCCCTGCCCCGGGTGGCTAGCAGCCAGTTAGAGCAGGTGTTTACCGAATTACTGTGTCACTGCTGCCCTGCCTGCTTTTGTCACTGGGGTGTGGAACAGAGCCAAGCCCGGCTGTGGGGCCTTTTTTGGTGAGTATGGTCAAAGCTGACCCTTGCAAAACTTATTATTGTGTTATTGGTTTAATTACCCTTAAAGCCACTTCTTTGCTCTCTTGCTCTCTTCATGGTCTATGCCCTGAACAGTCCACATCTTCCCCAGAGAGAAAGGTACCTGAGAATTTCACCCACACTGTGGTTATGAGTTCTGAGGAAACCCAACTTAAACAAGACAGAGAGACCCAAAAATCCATGCATAAGCCAGAAAGCTAGCTTGTTCATGGTGGAACCTCAGGCAGCATGAAAGCTGGTCAATTGGAAGATTTTGAAAGAGATTTTGTCTTTGTTCTCACTACGTGCCCCATCGCCTGCTCCCCGCCCCTTGGAACACACACAGTCTACCTACACCTACCAGCAAACTAAAAGTATTAATTACTATTAGGTAGAGAATTAAAAGAACCTCAGAGCCCCAGACTTAGTATCAGGAGTATAGGGTTCAAATCAGGCTCTGTCATCAACCTGCTCTTAGAGCTTCCTGGGCCTTCTCTCTCAGAGCCTGTTTCCCCATCTGTGAAAGTGAGGAGGAAATGTGGATGGGAGCAATGATTCTCAGCCCTGGAGGGTCCTGATCCTGAGAGCTTGAAAACGTGAAGATTGTCTTTAAGAACCCTAACAGTTTAATTACATGAAAACTCAATTCTCAGGAAGAGAACAGTGCCACCTGCTGGTTTCACTTTTCCCTTGCAATCTCCAAATATCTGCCAATGCAATGCAAAGCAATTTGGTATTTATTATAGAGCCCAACTCAATGCTCAAGTATTGTACTGCGCCCTCCAGGATATGCAGCAATGAGCTCCTTTCCACTTGAAGCTCACAATCTATAGGGGACACTTGACATGTACATAAAGCCCTTTGTTCCAAGGTGGACATGGTCCCAGTGAGGTTTTCCACAAGGTGGAAAGCCTGAAGCCAGGGCCTGCTTTATGGACACGTGATGTGTGGAGTCACAATAGGCCTTGATTTCAGGCTCTGCTGTCACTGTCTTGAAATTCTTAATAATTTTGGCACAAGGGGCCATACTTTTTTTTTTTTTTTTGCCCCGGGGTCCCACAAATTATATAGCTGGTCCTGCTTGGGGGAATCTTGGAGGCAGTGACATCTGAGCTGGGTTTGGAGAACAGAGCAGTAGTGAAGGGAGAGGAAAGGAGGAAGCCTACTTTAGCGTGGAAGGAGAGGTGGAGTCAGTCCTTAGGCCTCTGAAACTGGGTGGTGTGGGGGATGGAGATAAAAGATCAGGGGCTGTGAGGGGTGTGGGCAGGGAGGTGGGTTTGATGTTCCATGAACTCAGGATCGGGGGCTAGGAGGACCTCCAAGGACAGTCCAGTAGCTGGAACTCAGAAGACAGGCTAGGGCTGGAGCTTTGAGGTGGTAGACTTCCAGGTGGGTGTGCAGGTGGGACCAAGGGTTCTAAGGTGCCCTGAGGGGAGTGCAGAAGACAGAGGTGCATGGCTGGGCCTGGGCTTTCAGGCCAACCTAGGTTCTTGGCTTCTGACACTCCTGCTTTGTAGAGTGGTAGAGGAAGTCCTTGAGCACAGGGCTGGATGGGCCCTTGAGCACCAACTTCCTGTGTGGTGTGCTATAAAACTCCTCTTAACCTCCTTATAAGTGGCTTCCTGCTTCCACATCATCACAGGCACTGAGCCCGAGCTCTCCTGAGGTGTGCACTCATGTTGGGGACATTTCCATTCAACTTGTGCCCTGCATTCCTTGGCCAGGATTCGCTCTCAGCAGCTATTAGGGGCTTTGAACAAGCTTCTCCTTCCCTGTCATAGTGGGTTCAGCCTGCTGCTGCACACTTTGGGAAGTCTAAAGAGCAAACCTCTTGGAAAACGTCAGCATCTTCTCTCTCATGGGGCTTTCCATGCTCTGGGGGAGGAGTTTTGCAGGAAATGAGCACCTCCTCAGAGTTCAAGGAAGGTCAGGACAAGGGGGAAGTGAAAGCCCTGAACCAACATTTCAAACCAGTTCTCTCCATTTAGCACCATCCGGGGCTAGCACAGGTAGCTGGCACCCGTGATATCTGTGTCCCTGGTTCCAACAGCCTGAGCAAGGATGCTGCCTGGTTCTTCTGCTTCCCTGTAGAGCACAGACCAGACAGAAGGTGGGCAGGTTGAGCAGGGATGGTTTGTGATTTAGTCCCCAGGCCTCATGCAAGGAAGCTCCCCTCTCAGCTGGGTTACTGCCCAGTTGATCGCAGGACTTGTGCCCAGAATTGTCCTGGGAAAGTTTTATTCTGTATCTTGTGTTTGTCTCTGGGCCTGGGGTGCATCTTTGCTTGGGGTGGGGGATAGCTAGTAGGGTAACTCATCGCCAGAGCTGACAGGTGGCCCCCGCGGCAGGAACAGGGTCAAGGATGCTAGCTTCTTCTCTAGAAAGGGCCCAAAGGGCAGGCTCTCTGCTCCATCGCAGTTTCCTTCTTCTGTGTGTGTGTGAGGAGGGGGAGTACACTGGGCACCTCCTTGTGCAGGTGCGTCATATAGATTAGGCTCTGCCTTGGACTGGGGGCACTGCTAGCACAGCAGAGGGACCCCTGATCCTCAGGACTTCATCCTACTGGGCCTCTGAGAGAAATCCCTGGGTTGGCTAGTTAAGATGGCAAGAACTTCGCAATGCCCCAGGCAACCTGCCCAGCCACTAAAGGTGTGAGCCGAAGAGGAAACACCAGCGACTGTGCCTGCTCCGGCCATAAGGAGCATGAGGGAGTGCCGGAGTCTGTGCTCCCGGCTAGAGCCCAGTGCTCCAGGCGGGACCCACTGCTCCAGGTGGGACTTGGCACACCAAGACAGATCTCATACTCCGGTCAGGAGCCACTGCTCCAGGGCCTGCAGGCCAGGCCTGGGCATGTGAAACGATGGGAGACACAGAGATGTAGAGAGGCAAAGATGGAGCGACAGGGGCACACAAATAGAGAGATCTACAAAGTTACTGAGGGAGAGAGACAGATTGTTTGATTTAGAAACAGAGACAAAGGCGGTGAGAGCCACACTCGTGACCGGACACAGAGAGCGTCACTCAGGTCCTGTCTTCCTAGATGTCAAAGGAGGAGCCGTGACTCCTGGAAGACGCGCAGGGGCGGGTTTCAGTGGCGAGAGCCTTCCCCCGCTGCTCGGAAGGGTCCTTCCCTTCCAAACCGCGCAGGGGAGGGCCTCGGACCGTGAACCGCCCGGCCCGGGCGCGCCTACGTCTGGATGAAGAGGTGGAAGTTGGTGCGCGTGAACTCGCGGTGGATGCTCTCCAGGAGCGCGTCCGCGTCGGCCTCCGCGTCCGCGGGGGGCTGGGGTTTGCCCGGGGGGCCGGGCCGCGCGCTGTATTCGGGGGTGTAGGTGAAGGAGAAGGCGCTGGGGTAGAAGAGGCCGTCGGGGCGCACCAGGCTCACCGCCACTGTGATGGGTGTGCGCAGCCAGCGCCAGTCGCTGCAAAAAGCGGCTACATCCGGCACCACGCACACCAGGGACCGCGGGCTCCTGGGGGTGGGGCACGGGGATTAGGGCTGCAGTGACGTCAGTTAGGGCTGACGACAAGCCCTCTCTTCTCCCCGTTCCCCGGGACCCAAGGGAGGCTCCCCCGCCCATACCTGTACATGGTCTCGGCCTCCACGTCCCCGAACCACACCTTGAGCCCCGCGTGGAAGTTCTCACCGTGGAGCTCCAGCGTGGCCACGTCACCCCC